CTGGGAAGCGGACCGTTCCTAGACTTGCTTCTTTACTGGGAAGCGGACCGTTGCTAAGGCTCAGCTCTTCACTAGAAAGCCGACCGTTTTCTAGACTTGCCGCTTTATTCGGTTCCCTCACTGGACCTGCTCACCAACAAGGAGACTTGCTGAAAATTAAGCTTTCCGACAATATGTATAAAGCTTCTTTCGAAATCAAATTTTTTTTTCTTCTTTTTTGATTTCCAATTTCATTTCATATAAATACACAACGCGCGAACCGGATAGAACGCCATAATTGTGACGTCACGCCAAAACAATAAATAATACAAAATGGCGGACATTTGTGTTTCTTTTCATAAATAAAATGGCTATTTTGACAATGTGTCACATCTTTAGTAGAAGGACCGTTTACGTAGCCATCAAATACAATGTTAGCATAGCCATAATGTAACTGCACCATTGTTGCATATTGATTACAAATATCATGGAAAGTCGATCCATATCTCCAAGGCAACCTCTGTACTAACGACCCTCCGTCCAGGACGTAACATACATCGTCATTGGGCACTTGTGTTGCTCCGCATTGTCCGAGTTCCCAAATTGCGTTAGCCAACGCTGGCTTTTGTGCCTCTCGCAATAGGCCGGATGAGTCAAATAGTGAAGAAGGATGACAACAAAGCTCATAGGAAAATACTTCTTCAATTCTGTCCACTGAATCATCAGCAACTGTCAATAACCGCTGGAATAATAATTGTGGGTCAACATGTATATCTTCTCCACCAACTTTTATACTGTTTTTGTACCAAGTGTAATGGCCTGTCGGTTTCTTTTGAAGCTATATTCTTGACATTCTTTCCTGTCATTTCTTCTAAAATACTTTGTCCAATATCTACGGCTCGGTCGACATTAACAATAGTCTCAGCAACAGCTCCAGTTTCAATACTTCGTAAACAACGTGATTCGAAAAAAGTTTGCGTTCTTTTAGAAATTCTAAGAATATTCTTCTATCCTTTTCATCTCCGCTTATCCTAGCTTCAGTACAATCTTTATGTTGTTCATTGCTTTCCTACTTTTGCCCCGAGAAGTCTTGCATTGCGTTGTTAATGTCAGCACATGCAGGCATTGAAAGGAGTCACTGTGCTCTCTGAGCCTCTGTCATACCGCGACCACTCGTCATACCTCCAACTGACTTAACACTCCTCATCAGTACCTGTTCAATAATAAGGTCTGACGATAATCCTGCCCAGTATCTATCACTTCGTCTAATCATATGGTGTCCTTCACAAAAGGCTTGGTATACATTTGGATGTGTATCTTTCAGGTCAAACATATCTTGAAGGTACACGTATCCAGATTTCAGGTGCAAATTATGTCCTGATGCAGCCAAGAAGGGTAACATTTTCTGCATCGATTCACAGTTTTTATTCCATAAACCCATTCTTTCTGCAGCTATAAATTTCTTTAAAATGTCAATCATATTCATATATTGTAACCATAGCCTTGCAGTTCTGTTTTCAATAGCAAGCCTACATTTGGCATTTTTAAACGTTTGGTTCATCTCCAAAACAGTTGTGTCCACACTTATTTCTTCCAGATTTATCTGATTGGCTAAGATACCTTGAAAGATATATGTTACATGCTTAGTGTCACTTACTTGGATATTTTTGTATTCAGGGTCACCTGTTAGACATTTATCATTATTGTTTAGGTCATTAAGAATAAGCTTAGCAGCCGTTTCTATTATCGCCCTTGTTTCTGACTCACAGTCATTGTTCTCGTTTCTGTGATAGAAAGAATGAAGAATACCATGAGCATTACTTTTAAATGTCACAACATTTGGTTTCCCATTTAATTCAGACATCATGATATTATCTCCAAAATGTTCTAGAAGTTTCTTCTTCATGTAAACGCTACTATAGGCCTCTGTACCACAAAATTTTTCCATCTCATTAACAAGGTCATACAAAGACATTTGTTCAATAGCATTACTCTCAAAATATTTGATAACTTCAGAAAATGCATTATCAGGAAGTACATTTGTAGGTCTACCTTTCTTACATTTGCTTGGTTCTAGAAGTTCCTGCTTACATACAAGAATATTATATCCTGTCCTTAAATAAGCACAGCATGTCTGATGGTACCTTGCCTTAACAGCCGGGAGATCCTGTGCAAACTCAATGCGCCCCAATACAATTTAACCCCACTCATCAAATCGTTTTTTACAAATATCTTTAATACTAGTTGACTGAAATTCTAAAGTTCTAACAGGAAACACACCATAACCATTTTTACGGTCTTTGTACTTTGCATAACTGCCACAAAACAAACAGTTAGTTTGAAAGTCAAAGCGACTTTTACAAGATTGTCTTGTACTTGGGCTTGGTATCTGATTTTCGTTGCATTGTACGGTTCGCTGACTGTTCGGGTGGCAATATTTTCTTCTGCATTCTTGATGTACAACCATCCTGGGAACTACGTTTAGCTCATCTCCTGAAGATAAGATATAAAGGAATTCTCTAAACTAAAAGAAACAGTATTTAGTAATGATATTTACTTTTTCTAAATATCAACCACTAAATCAGTATCATTGCATCCTTTGTTCGGTAAATATTTGCAAGCTGTTGTCTCGTTTTGGAAAGTTTACTACACATATTTATTTAGATACTATTGAATTACATATAACATGTGCAAATGACTCGTACATTTCTGTCTTATATTTATATATTATTTAGAAAAATGAAAATAAGTGATCAACCATAAACATAAGCTTAATCGGACTGAGCCTGCAACAGTGTGTTTGTCCCCATGTAATGCATCCCGTTGTTTCTCTAATTAGTTCGTATTTTTCAGTTCAGTTACCTCTCAGTTTACTTGCTGTCATAAACCCTTCACACCCTTTTCCCCTCAGTGTTGATCTTTCGCCACCATCCGCCTCGTTACAAAGGACACAAAGAACTGTCCCTTCAATGCTGAAATAATAACAGTACAAAAGGTTAATTTACTCAAGGCAGACATTAAACGAAAAGTCAATTAATCAGCTTTGACGCTGAAAGGGGTACAATGATTAGATATTAAACAAGTTTTCAAATATCAAAAATATTGCATTATTATATATTTTTGAGATTTAAAAATAATGTTTTAAAATAAAATACCAAACAACTATTTTCTTACCTCTTTTTACGTTCTCTTGGTAAATGTCGCATTCACATCATTAACATATGCAGGTATGTTTTATGCTGAAATATAAGCATGATGTCTAAAAGACAACCCCAAGTTATTACAAAATACATTTTTCACAAGAAGTAAACATTTTAAATAATTTATTTTGCCTTATCTACAATTATAACATGTCAACTCCTTGAAATATGGGGGAAAAAATATAAAAAACCCAACACTTTTCGTGATTTTGACCACAACACGCTTCCGTACAATAAAAAATTCGAGAAGGGTTATATATATATACAAATTTCTATATAAATCGGCGATATTTTAAGCAAATTCCTATGTGATTTTAAATAACTCTTCAGTAGAAAACATTCTCCAACAATAATCAAATGATAAATAAATGTTTAATACTTATTTAAACAAAAATTCAGATTCAAAATCGCGAAATTGTATGACATGTTTTGTCATCTGCAAAATCGCTCCGATGTAATGCAATTATATTCGTATATATACATCATTTTTCGCTGGAAATATACATATTTGACTATAAAAATGACTAAAATTTCTTACCTTTGCATGAGAAAGCCTGGAATTAAAGTTATTTCTAATATTTTACCGAAAACATAAACAACCTTGAACGGTGACATCGACACCGGTAACGACCGGAAGTACATAGAGTAAAAATATGGTGTACTGTAAGAGACACTATTTAGTTGTGACTTTTACTTAACTTTGAGATTGATTTTCAAGGACTGTGCAAGGAATTTTTTTGACTTTTTTCTCAAAATGTAGATACCATATATAATTAATTTAAGCACAAAAACATTTGTGAAGGAATTAGTTTTACCAGAATTGTTATAATGACTGGCCTATATAGATATCTCGAAACCAGTGCAAGGCGCAGCATAAAAGCACAGTGTGCGTTATTCTGAAAGTTTAGAAAATATTGCACTAATATTAAAGAATATTTCGATAGGCTAATATAATTGTCATCAGCATACCTAAGATCAAACTATGTGTTCTTTCTTCTTCTTTTTTCTGTTTACATTAATTATGTACTTTATAAGTTTATTATTGCTTTATTAATATACAAAGTAAAATACAAATAAAATACATTTTCAAGATTTATTAGAGTCTTGAAATTTCCATTTACATTTTTGTGTGAGCTTCCTAAGGGATACCGCCAATGGCTTTACAAATGACTTTTCCTTCTGCTCTGAGAAGTCTGAGCATCATTTTTAGCCGTAACAGAATTATATTCCGACAATATAAGACTCATATACTGATGCTGTAACATAAAGTTATACACGAGGCATTTATAAGAAAAGTATAAATGGTTTATTTTCATTTGCTGTAAGTTGTTAAACATTCACATAAATGGTTGCATTCGTGTGGAACATAATATATACTTTGAAGATCCTTTTTAGTTTCACTGAATATACACTGTCAAATTATATACTTGGAATGATAAGACTTTATGACAAAATTAAAAGTTAAGAATACAAAAAACATTATTGAAATGTTAAATTCTTGGTTTAAACATAGATAACGAGGAATGTCCTTAAACTTCGTAGAAACGATAAAGCAATTTCATTTATTTTAAATGATATTTTTCTTGCATTTGATTGTTAAGTTTTGATAACAACAATAAAGAAATTGTTAACATTACGTAATATCAGACGATTATTTAGATTGGAGGCTTCAGAGACGCATGCCGTTAAAAAGATGAAATACTCTCAATATCTATTTGGATTGTAGGGATTCTTTTCATTCACAGCATATGGCGGGTCGAATAAAGAATTATTTAAAACGTACAATTCTACAGATAGATAAATCTGATTTAACCCTTTCAGTTGAAAAGCTGCTTGGTGTAAACGTACTTCCAACAAATAAAGAAATTCAGACTATAAACAAATGTTTCGGGAGGCAATCTCAAAAAATGAAAACACTTTGTGAACAAATTTGTGGAGTTATAAAAATTGAAATTTATAAAGATTCAGCTACAGACATATGGCCAGCATGGAATCCAAAAAGTGATAACATAGTTTTTGTTGTAGAATTGACAAACAAAAATAAAATTAGTAGTACTTATTGCAATCATTACGATCTTGAAATAATAGAATACGACAGGAATTGTAGCGCTTTTGAGAAAGAAAGTCATATGGTTATGGAAAAAGAAAAGGAATTGTTGACGAATCAAACATATGATGATATCAGTCGCTTGCAAAGTCTTCAGAAAGAAATATCAACATTTTCAAAAGAACTGATGGATAAGCATAAAAACATAACTGCAATTTTTCCTAGTATTGTGAAGTCTGTTGGATATTTCAAATCTGGCAAACATAGATTTATCGAAATGTTATGTATTTCCATACGTGTTGAAAAGAAAGTCAGTGGTTTGATTCCACTAGCAGAAGAGCCTATCACACGTTTTTTAGGTACATTTCCAACTGATGTTATTGCTGGGGACTTTTGCTTTCTTGGTGACAGACCTAATGATTTTCATGAAAATATAAAAATTGGGTCAGCAATCCATGCTGGATTAAAAACAGATAAAGGGGAGATGTTAGGTGGAACAATGGGTTGTTTCGTGAAACACAAAATATTTGGAATGTGCTGTTTAACATCCGCACATATCGTTTTGTCACAAGCTGAGATTCAAGAGGTGCTAAAGGACGGGTACCATGAATACGATAGAAATAGTTTGAAACCGGTATTCCAGCCAATTAGCAAAACATTATCGCAATTTGGACAAGTTGTTGCAGCTGCGTGTAACGAGGGGCAAAGTGAAACGCCTGGGGTAGAAGTGGCATTGATACAAATCCTGTGCAGGCAACCAACATCAGGGTCTTTTCCACTTACAGGCATGTAGCATTTAAATTATTAAGTCGTATGTATGTTTCACACATAAAACTGTTAATGTTAATTGTCTTTCATGAGATATAATAAATTAAACAGGCTCACTGATAAATATTTGTTCGTATTCATCAACCTTAACATCGGCATTGGTTTTATCAAACTGAATAATCATAGGCAGTCTATCACTTTGCATGTGACCACGACCTTGGCTTGTCTTAATTCATTTCATTAAATTTACAGATTCCAAAACAAGGCACACATTTGCGTTTAATTCAGGAAATATAGCTGATGCAAAACTGGTAAGACCATTGACACAAGTGTTTAAGTTTGGTATTGAAACCGGACCAACTCTCGGGTTACTGGGAATACCGGGTGTTTCTGTTCGATACCGGGGAGGCCTACGATTAGAGAATCAACTAGTTGTTATGCCAAAGAAAGATGCTGTTTTTGCTATGAATGGTGACTCTGGGTCACTTGCATTTATTGGTATATCATGTCCGGGAACAGAGGCTGCGATAGGGTTGGTTTCGGGAGGATTCGACAGCGGTCAAGTTCTAGTCACACCAATTCATGCTGCATTAAAAGCTGTCCAGTGTCCGCCTTATTTACATAGATTTGAAGATGCAGATTCGGGATTTAATGACGACATTTCAGAAGGCTGTGAAAATATGGATTGCACTGAAGTTTCATGGCATGCTGTGATCTAAACCTGTAGAACTAAAGATTGCCCATATTTTGTAATGTTTTAAAATGACATTTTCAAATTTACTTTTTAGATAAGTTTTACTTCATCTTAAGTTCTGTGAATAGGTATTGATAATTGATACCAATATTTATCTTAGACGGACAACTTTATGTTAATGATTTAACCATTATCATTTTTAACATTACAACTGGTTGCCATATTGTCGGCATTACAATAAAAGTTTGATTTAATGTACACATTATATTAGAAATGACAGCAAATTTGATTATTGTATAAGTACATGTAGTAATATCACACATAAATTCAGCTACAGCGAAACATAACAATAAATAATATGTCACTTCAACCAATTATCATTTAACATTTCAGTAATTTCATTAATAAAAAAACTGTGTCATTTATTAAAATTCAACAATCATTATATAAAATTTTATGTTAACTATTTGTTTTATATCTTCAACTGAATTTAAAGTGTTAATTATAAACAATATCCTATAAGTCAAACTCCCATGTTTGAAAGTTGTGTTTCGTTTCGAAATGACTCCAAAGTTTTTTTTACCAGGCTATTTGTGAAGACTTTGTTAAGGCAAATACCTTTTTGCAAAGAAATGTCAGATAAAGCAATTATAAGATTTCCTGTCTTGAAACATATATCGTAGATTTGCTACAAGATGTCATTTCAAATATGAAGTTAACTTGAAACATTGAAGATCTTACAAGTCATGTTAAGAAATTTTATTGGATAATTTAACGAAATTCATAAAAGATTTGTAGAGCATGGTTTATCATGTAAAAGATATAATGATTCTTATATTCTCTAATGAATATCTTAATATGTTAAATATAGCTATGCTTTAGCATGTTTAAGACTTTGTAGATAAATACATGTAACTATAGATAACATTATGTATGTTTTGTTAAGGAATACTTAAGCATGCTTTACACCTACAAATTGAACTGTACGGAGAGTTTGATACAGGTAAACTTTAGCATACCTAAGATTTCAATATGATTAGATGAAAACAAATACAATATACGAATGTTTGACACAGTTTTGCTTGTTTTTGCTCACTTGAATATAAAATTTTGAATGAGAGAGTATCCCTTGCAAATACTATTTGAAAGCATAGTTTTAGTAATATAAATATGTCATTGGTACGACTATATAATGATGATATAATCATCATTCCTTATTACATAGTTTATGTCTTATATTAATCATTGACTATTTTTCATTTTACAAAGATTGACAATACAAAAGTATGGTCGTAATAAAATATTCTTTAATTCAATTAACTTTTGCTGTGATCAGTAACCGGTTACAATACTTGTTGCCTTTTTCGGCGACAATTCAGACAAAGAAATATCTTGTATTTCAAATTGCTGAACTTATTCAGTTTGTTTATTACAGTGTAACGTCTGAATTCAGGAACTTGTTAAACACGGAAACATCTGAAATCCGAACATTTTTCAGGGTCCAGAAATTTCTCCTTCTGTTTTCTATGTAATCAAAACCTCTGATTTACGGACTTTCTAAATTCTGAATTCCAAACGAATTTCTGGTAAAATTTGTTCATCTTAACACCTTTTAGAATTACAACCTGTCAAGCATATCAAACACATCTTTATAGTGTGAAAATTAAGAAATTGAGAATTATAATGTGAAGAAATGAAAAAATACAGGTAAATAGAAAGTACTACATGTATATGAAATATACTAAAGGATAAATTGTAATAATTAACATTATGCTATTGTATCAGCAAATTAAGTTACAGGTGATAATGAAATTTGAAATAGTAAAAGTCCTATGATTTTGCTATTTTATTAGTTTAATCAGCTTCATATATTTTTCATCATGTCTTACCATAAAGCAGTTGATGTATAATAATTTTACTTGTTCAGGAAATTCTTAAATTCTGAATTCCGGAAACTTCCAAATTCCGAACTTTTTGGCTAGTCCCACAGTTTTTCGGTTTTCAGAAGTTACACTGTACTACATATTATCATGTGTTGGATGTTATTTATTTAAGATAAAATGATTTTATGTTGTTTTATTTCTGTTGAATCATATTTGTCATTATATTACACAGACTTTATTGCCTTTTTTCAAATGTGATCGATTTTTTGTAAACAACAAACATATACACTCGTATGCTTGTAATATTATATATCATTAAAGCGTTGTATTTTTTTTGTTGGGTTCTTTTTTCCCCTTTTACTCCCTTTAAATTTAAATACTGCCTTTTTTGTTTTGGGTGACTAGCGTCAGGGAAAAAAAGAACATTCATAGTGTTTTGTTATTTAAAATTTTTTTATTGATTAAAATTTTTATTTAAAAAGATGATCTTTTGTAAAAAAATACCCAAATGATAAACCAAATTTTTTTCTCTACTAATCAAAGTTTTGTCCGTTTATAGAAAGCATTTTTATTTTTTCTTCTAAAATTTCATAAAATTAAAAACAAAATTAAACCCATTTCGAAGGTTTATTTTGACATTTTTCTAATTCAACCCCCCCCAAGACGAATTATTGATAAGGTGTACCCTTTTCTTTAACAATTTGTCCTCTTTCCAAAAGTTTTCCAAAAAATTTAAACTTTTCCCTTTTGTTTAAATTAATTTTTTTCCCCTTTCCCGGTATTTTTAAAGTGAATATTTTCTTTCTGGTATTAGTTTATAAAAGATATATAAACAATTATTTTAGTTCGATAGTCTTGGAAGATATAAACTTATTGAAACATCCGTCCCTGACACTAACCAGTGCAAAGCAATGAATGTTAAGTTCCTAGCTCAAGGAAACAACGGCTTGTCAGTGATAAGGTTTTAAACCATGTGACCAGCAATAGCTAGACTAGTAGTCCAACACGTTAGCATTCGGACACACCGCCACTCATACTTATTGGTATTAACAACAAAAGGAAAACACAAAAATTTAATCTGAAGTTCATAACGTACATGCTATCTTCATGAAACCCTACTTAATAAGTTTCCCTGATTTGAAACCTGTTTGAGCAGTATATGTTGTTAACGGGTTGGTCGTTATATCGTTTCAGAGCATTTAACAAAATAATGTTGTGGTTTTAATCAGACCAACAGTTCTTCTATTTCTTCACAGAAACTTTAACACACGGTCTTAATTTAAACAAAATACTTTATTTATATATATTTTATGGAAAAACTGTAATTTTTAGTATAAGGGCATGTGCTTCGTCAACAATCTAAAACAGCTGACGATAGTATTATACAAAGCGTATATGGTATAACACAAACACACACGCAAACACACACATACACATGTCTGTCACGATCAGTTAATAACTAGTTTGGTTTTAATATTAATTAATATGCGAGACCATAATGAACAAGCATCACGCATGCTGTTACAACAGTCAATGTCGTCACAAGGGATAAATATATATACATGGTAACTTTATCCAAAAGCAAGGCAATTTCTTTCCAAGAGTATTCTTTATCAGATGATATCGGTTTATCAGCTTCCCAGACTTCATTTCTGTCTCCTACGTAATCTTCAATGGAAACAATCTTTTCGCTTTTGCTATAGTCGGATTTGTGTTGAGGAATTGTGACACTATCATTATTCATATCAGATGGATTGGGAGATACTTTCTTATTTATTCTACTGCAGTCAACGCACGCAAGTTTGATTAACACCGATGACGTTATTGTATGTAGCCATTTCGGGACAGGTTTGTCGTCTGGGTTGAAGTATGTATCGAGGTAGATTACAGTAAGGAACACGGCAAGAGTTTGTAGAAACAAAATACAAGCTATGTATGAAGCTGCAATCAGAACGATCAAGAAATTATTAAAAACGAAATTACAGAATGTATCAAATCTAATCAATATCTGTCTATCACTGTATGTAAAAATGTTTCTCTAATAAGGAGCAAACATGGAATAAACAATTGTTTTAAACATTACTATTGAATATAATATGTTTATCTTATGCCTAGAGAAAAGAAAAAATGATGGAATAAAAACAATCATTTTGTATGATCCAAAAAGGTACTTTTAACTATCAAATTCAACTGGAAGAAATTTAAATGCTAATTATCCAATGACAACAAACGTGTGTTCTTGATTATGAAGCAAAATCGTATACACCTTCAGCCTTATAAGTATAAAAGCGATTCAGGGCATGATACTTCGTAGGTTTTTACAGTATTAGTATGAATAAGGACTTGTCATGTCATAGTGGATTTTTTTATAGATATATTTTGAAACAGGAGATATTTACAAAATGAACTTTCCTACAAATAACCAAACCGAACTATCAGTGTTGGTGTTACTTACAAAGCAGACTTGCAGACAATGATGTCTGGGGAATACTTTCAGAAATGACACCAAGGTATACAGCATAAGCGAGTAATATAGTTAATGCCAGGCCGACTCTTTCACCTGACTCCGGATTCAGCTTAAAGATAATAACCTGAAAACAAGTAGAAGTATATGAAGGAAACTTCTCTTAATATTCATTGGAATTTAAGGTAACATTCAATTAATATGAGGAGTCGGTAGTATTATTAATTCTAGGCAGATATATATATGAGCCGCGCCATGACAAAACCAACATAGCGCGTTTGCAACCAGCATGGATCCAGATTAGTCCAACCAGGATCAATGCCGTTCGCTATCAGTTTCTCTACTTGTAATAGGATTTGTAAAGGAACAGCATGGCTCCTGCTGGCCTCAAACGCACTATTTGGGTTTTTCATGGCGCGGCTCATATGTACACCTTAACATTTTCCAAAATCAACTATTGGTCAATCTTCATTTTAACAATCATTTGAAATATATAGTCAATAGTATGGTGGGTGATTTGTGCCATTTCGTGTTTTCGCCCCGCGACCCCGCCAAGCAAAAGGTCGAGATTTAAGAAAAGTGGCGCAAAGCAAAAACAAGCTAATTAAATGCTTATCCGCGCCATTAAGTAATTCGAATCTCTACTTTTCGCCCCGTGCCCCCGCTTATAAGTGTGTTTTCCCTCTACGGCCCCGTTGTAGTATACTTTTTAAAACCACGTCCAACAGCTCCCGTTAATTAGCTTGTTTTCGCTCCGCACTAATGCAGTTTATTTCCTTAAATCTCTATCCGTATTCCCGCGAGTTGACATTTTATGTCTTCAATCTCACCCGCGCCCCACTAATAAGCGTGTTTTCGCTCTGCGCTCTCGCAAGATTTGAACTACTAGTCCGATGGGGGCGTGAATTGCAAACATGCTAATTAGCGGTGACGCGGACCGAAATGTCGAGCTCGTAAAGAATAATTTGGTCGAGGGCGTAAACAACAGCACGCTTATTAACCTCATATAACAATTACACCTCTACTTTTCGCGCCGCGCCCCGCTAATTAGTGTGTTATCACTCCATGCCCCGCCATTTTAACTTGTTTATTATCGACTTTTCGCTTGGCGGTGTCGCGGACCGGAAACACGAATGACACAAAACAGCCACCATACAATATAGCCACTCCAGCTCATTTCGACAATGAAAAAATATACAATTGCCACTTTACGAAATATGAAAGTACGAAGATCTGCATCTATAAATAAATGAAATATTCAACACAACTCACGCTTTCATAATAAATAGAACTTATACTTAATTTGTAACTCCGCATAAAATAAAAAAAAATAATTTTCTTACAGTTAAGAACGCCATGAGGACAACCGGAAACAGTGTGTTGAGAGAGTGAAACATGGCTCGGCGACGAAATGTTAAGGAGAAAACGAGACGACTAAAACTTTCTGACTCTCGAACTGTCTCGAGAGATTCGTATCCTGTGTTGATTAATTCCCATTCCCCATTTTCTATTAAAATAAATACAATTAAGAATATACAAAAATTGTTTGTAATTATTTAACAGGGTTTGGTAACTTTGATAGATAAATAAAATTTCATGTCATTCAAATTTTCGGATGACTTTTTCAAGAGGTAATTTACAGAGAAAATGTTGGTATTCGTTTATCTGAGAAAACGTGTACACATGACAAAAAAACATTTTTTAAAAACTGTGTGTGGTTTGGTGACATATTTTGTGAAAATTTGGAATTATAAAACTAAACAATTCTGTATTTGCTTGAATGCAAGGCGAAAAGACAAACTCGAACAATCTTTTTTCTTTGTATCGACTTGTTATTTGAAAGTCACATTAAGGTTATAGACTCTCCGGAAAATGGGTCATCAAACAGTTACGTGAGAAAGTCAATAATATTTTTTCAAATTTATTTGTTTAACCTCAAAAATAAAACAAGGTCATGATTATAAATAAGTATGTAACAGACGTTGTTCTTACAATTTTTGAACACTTTACCAAGTGTGTATTTCTCATCATCTAACCATTAACATACAAATATATCTAATAAGATCAAATCTCAATTTATGAGCTTTCGGAATAAAAAAAATTCTATAATGAAAACAAATATCGACATCAAAGACATGAAGCAAAAGAACGTCTGTCTTTAATATGTATCTTTTTCTATCATTTTCATCATTTTCACTAGAATCTTAAAATATGATAAACAAGATCAACAAGGAAAGGCGGCATTCAAAGAACGCAACCCCGACCCGACCCAGTAACAAGAGCCAGTGGCAAGTTCAGATATGAAATCTTACCTTGATAAAAATCCGTCAGAATCTTCGTTTTAAACAGATTGAACTCTAACCTAATTTCAGTAAGAGTGTACGACCATGAACTGAGAACAATCTCGCAGGTTGTGCCATGTTGTCAAAGTTGGCCAGGAATGTTTACGTAACTTTCACAATGAGTATGTAAATGATTCCAGGCTGTGCGCAAGAGAAAAATAAAGTTGAATAAAGAGTTTTCTGTTTTAGCTTTTTTATTTTCTCGTTACGTTAGCTATTTCATTTATAATTAAAAGTCAACTTTTAAAGCATTGTATAAATTTAACGCTTGAAAGATATACTGTGCTCATATCGGAGTTAAATATTTTAATCAAAATATGTTTAAGTCTTACCAAATATGTCAAATTTGAAAAAAAAACACAATTAAATACACTATGTCTTGCAAGTTGAAATATGAAATATCTACTTTGTGTGGTGTCAAATCATTTTTATTTTATACTTATAAAGGGACTGTGCAGCAATTATCATTATTTTAAATTTAAGCATAGTCTATCTTTAATATGTAACTCATTAGGTTGGTTTATTTATCCCTCAAAATACTTTATTGGTTTGGCCTAAAGCTTTGAATGACAATATTATCCTATCTCTGAAATATTTTTATATCATACGAATATGAACGAATAATGAAAAGTTATTGCTTTGCTAGGATAAAATATATTAATAGCAAACCTGGAAGCCAATTTATTCCACCATTTGCATAGATTCTCATAGGAACGCTCGGTCTTGATATGACATCAATATCATCCACACTGAAACGGTGTAAATGAGCGTTAATACATTACTGGATTTATCAAATATTTGTTGCATACATGTATAATGATATCATAAGAGCCTTTGTTGAGCGTAATATATATATTGTTAAACGACTTAATGATTTTAAAAATGAAACTATACTTACATAATATTCTATATATCATTCATCTAAAATCATACAGCCAAAAATGTATCATTACATTACCTATTTTATATGATAAATTTATACTATAACGATGTCATAATATATGTATATTTAACGTCAAGTCATACAACAGTGCAATGTCGTTTTTGGAAAGAGGAAAAAAATCCCACATACATGTGATTAAAATGTATGTATGTCTTCTTATAACATATATTTGAAAGAATGTTAAATGGATAAAAGACAAACAATGTTTTCGTTCAAATATATAATACAATGAAATAAAATTCGAACAAAAATAAAATATCCTTTCAACAAAAGAAAAGCAATGGTAGAATTGAAGTGCTCGAATTAGTGCTAAATGAATGAATGAATTGGGATAAATCTGATATTCATTTCTGGCAATTTATACATCGATGTGTTATTATTAATAAAAGTTAATCTCCTTTGATATATTGAGGTCATTAATTTTATTAATCAACTATATAATGTAGTGTGAATCGGTTTGTTATTTATAGCTTTTTTATATAATGTTCAAAACATTTCACAAATGGAAATGACTTTGTGACATTCAAAATAGACCAATGAAGCACAAATAGATATATTTCAACATTTATATAATAATTAAAATTAGTATACATACGAATTCTCAACAATGATTGTTGGTTTCCAAACACTTTTCTCGTCACTAAACAAAAAATTGACATTGTCGTATGTATTGTTGTTTATCCAACTCAGCCGGGAATCAATCCATTCCTAGAAAAAATAAAATAAGATAAAAATTGTATAATCAAACATTAGTCATCATCTGTATATCTAGTTAATCTTAATGATGTTACACATTAAAAAATCAAGCATATTCTATACGAGTTTACAAAAACAACAAACTGATTAATGTAAGAAACCTTTATGGGAAAGTCGTTGGGTAGGGAAAATGGTT